GTTCGTTGGCTTTTAGTTTTGATTATAATTCATCAGTTTATCAGATCTATGAGTAAGTATTAAAGAAACGGAATAGACATATGAATTCATTATGACGTATGTAGTAGTTCATCATAAATAAATTTAATAGTCAGGAAAAAGTCATCAACGATTAGATCCCCGATAAATTGTAAAACGCGGTTAAAAAGTAGTCACATTTAGATTTAAAACAGCTACCCAATGCTCCATAATGTTTACTAGTCGCCTGGCTAAGGTTAGTTGGCGATGCAAACTAATAAAATTAAATAAAATAAAAGGCAACCCAAAGAAAGTGGGCAAATGATGCATTAAATGTGTGATCTTTATGTTTTACCAGGCCACTGTGTAGTTTCACATTGAAAAATAAATCGTTTTTCTTTTCTTATGTTCTTGTTTACTACAACACCACATTTTGAGTTAGTTGCCCATATCTTTCTTCAAGCATGCTCCTACACCAGCAAGCATCACTGGTTTAGGTATGTCGTAGTTAGGTGTACGTGACAAAGGTCCTAATTACATCAATCGATGAATATTGATAGTTCGACCAGCATATTTGCCATTTTTACCTGCAATCCTATATCTAGTATCTTCACTACTAACTCAACAGTTCCACGAGGTGCCAGTAATGTTTCAAAGACACCTATGACCAAAACGTTGTAGCCCACTCATATCTGCCAGTTGTATGTGCTTATTTTATGGACGTAGAGTTGCAAAGGGAGAAATGATACGCGACATAAATGTTGAGATTAAGCAAATGCTTTGGTTCATTTAAAAAAGATGTGCACATGCTATCAGGACTTAAAACTTCAAACTTTGAAAAACCGTAATTGTAGTAATATTATGTCCTAAATGATATGTAAGAAAATCAGCTTTAGATTTTGCATTATAGTACTGAATCCTCATTTTAAATAGCTGGGCCATAAGATTTCGAAGATTTAAACAGTAAAATGTCAAAAAAGATGATGGATTGAGAATAAATAATTCCATCAATAAAGAAATATTCATTAGGATAACGATAATCAGACAAAATAGTCTAAATGACTCCAAACCAAAAGTTACACTAGAAACAGTTCCACATGATCAACTCATTATAACAAAATCCATGTAGGCAGGGCATAATATTTATTATAAAGATTTGTTAACTATATAAATCAGTTGCACAAAAATAAAGTGTAAATTGGTTCAAACCAACTTGTTCATCTGGCTCATCGATCAAACCCTGCATTTTATCTGAAAGCATTTACTGAAGGGTGGTCTATCACATTGAAGACTGTTCGAGGAAAGGGATAACAACCTGAACCATTAAAAGTGGATGTAGATGAAGTCAAAGTAGCTGCTTTTAAGTTATGTGTCTTTAACAGTTATAGATTACTAACACCCTATCTCTAGGACACAGATAATGACAGTAAGTTAGCATGAGGTATTATGTTCAGTCCTTGAAGAGGTAACTAATATCACCCTTCAAGACTCCGGTTAAGTTGCACAAATCACATAGAATAAGATTGCAAGATGACTATGCTTGATATTTGTTTGTGGGGCTAGTGAAATGTCACTGGGCTCCAGCTAAATCATACCGATTTGGGTCACTGAATGTCGAGTTGTTCGCCAGTCAACTTTAATGCCGAGACCAACTAATGCTCGTCAATTGATTGAACGTTATAGATTGGTCCATGCCCCGATGGTCTCATTGTGTTTTTTGTGCCTACTCTTAATAATCTAGTACTATAATGTCCTTTGTGCTGTACAGCCATCAGACCAACCATAGTACCTGGATACAACGAAAGGGTAATCTACGTTATATATCAACTGCGAGATGTGACTTCGAAGTTTTCTGGTTTTTCGTATCATTCCCGACTAAATTCAGGAAGCTTTTGATCAATCGAAAGAGTTAATATTACGTTAGTGATCTACAGGGATGTTGATTTCACTCGATTTTAAATGTTTAAAGTAAACCCAACTGAGTTTAGAGGGTGTTTATAGCACACGTTTTTGGTATTAAGTAATCATTTGTCTTCTGATGAACGTACTTTATTCTAGGCCAGATACCTTTGTTGTTTTCACGAATTCCTCGTGAAATATTACAAATAATATTGATTTTGTAGGACGTACTTGAGAACAGTTGAAAGTAATATTACCCTCAGGGAATATAAGAAGAAATATTGTTTTTTCACTCGAAGTGAAGCTGAATGGAACCGCTAAAAAATGAGTAAAAGCTTTCGATTGAGAACTATTTTAGTTGTTGCTTTGTATCGTAGCATCCAGAAATAGTCTACTTTGCGATCTTCACGGTTAAACGTTAGACACCTAGGCCGTCATCCTCAGTAAATTTCGCAACTTTGGGATACATCAAATAAGAATTTCTAGATCAACTAAACGAAAGGTAATTGTATTAAAATATTTCGACATTGTAAAAGGTTTCATATAATTATGAAAATTAGGAACAGCCATCTGATTAATGTTGGCGGTTGAAGTAATGCAAGATTACTAGTGGAAGAAAGAGCTCCTAAGTTTCAAAACTTACAGGATTGATGGAAAAACTTCATGAGTTCATGATAAATCTGCCATTCGGCTTTGTCGTGTTTAATTACCTTCCCTTTCAAGGTCTTCCGTGCACCCCTCTATAAAGTTTACATTGTTTAATGAATTTACTATATGTACCACTAGACATTACCTTGATCAACCACATAAATTTAGTTAGAGGTTTATACTATATTTTCGCGATTAGAAGTCTCCTACCATAACTGTAGTTCTGTAGTGACAGTGAAGAAACACTAAAAACAATAAGAACGCAACTCTTCACATAAGCCTGAAAGTTTCACGTTCGGGCATTGAAATACGGATTAGAATAACATGCAACAAGCTTAGAGCAGGAACGTTATCAAAAATCCTTGCGTATCACTTTTGTCTTTATGTTCAGTACGTTATTTTATCAAACGTGCTTATATGTCACAGAAAAGCTTACAGCTGAGATAGGGTAATATACGATAGATAATGGGATGAATCGAAATAAGATCATACAGAATGAACATTCACATCATGGTTAGTCAACAATTTGGTATTTGGCTCGGTTTTAGCATAAATAAATGCACTGAAAACGGCGATAGACCTAAACTCCATGAACTATTTTGACTCTCTTAAATGTCATTTTTTCGGGATTTACGAGTGGCCTCTCTCTAACTCAAACATAGTAAGTTCGAGTGTGATGAAATTACTTTTTCAGTGTCTTATTACATTAAAATTTCGATTTTTTTCGATGCGCGCAATCTATCCCGACAGTGTCAGATAATCTAGTACATCGATTGAGCGTTAATTATCCTACAAAGTATTCCAATGTAAGCATTGCTACCTATTTCCTACATTGAAAGTCGAGAATCCCATTGAACAATTTCTCTAAGCTCTGAGACCCAGTTATGTGACATACACATTATAGAGTTTAACTGAATATCCATACTGTGAGCTTATGACACAAGATCAAGTGGTGGGCAGAAGGAAAATTTTCTATTAAAGATACTCGTAAAAAATAACGCAGAACATTTTCGGACATCAATTTTAGTGAAAGTAGGAACACAACTGTTCTTCAAAACTTAAGATATAGGGAGTCTGACATCAGATGACTGACGTACAAAAGACTTATTTAAGTCATAAGCATTCGGCTTATTATCTCTTCTAGTATACCTGTCACCTGTAAGTCCTTTAAACAGTTTCCACGCATTTAAGTTTCACAAGATAGGAGGTTCTGAGTAGACATAGAATTCAGACGTTGAATCTCTAGGTTTATTAGACCATTTAGCACACGAAATTCAATAGATTTTTTCCTAGTAAATTCTTTCTTTTATCGATTTAGTTGTTTAGATGTAACTCAATCAAAACTTAGAATAATGGTTTCAGTGGGATAGCGAATATCAAGACAAGATTTCAATAACAAATAATGTCGATAATACAAAATACCCTAACAGTACAGATGACCCACTAAACACTCTAAAGTATGTATCGTACAAAGTGATGTAATATGAAAGACATGTTGTTAAATACAACTGTTAATTACCTTAGAGTAAGCAATGATACTACCTACAAGATGAGGTGGAAACTTCTCTCTGACAGAACCAACTCAACTATCAAGAGCAACCGATATCATACATAAAAAACGTAAAGAGAATGGCAAACACTAACCAAAAGTAACAAAATATTAAGAAACACGGAGTACGTTTTCACAAACCCCAAATAAAAGTCGGTATACAAAGCAAGGACTAAAATTCAGCAAACAGAAACTATTGAAGAGCATATCTCAAATGAGTGCCCGCAGCGTATATTTTGCGTTAAATTAGTGCGAATTATCGCACTCCTAGTGTCTGATCTTATGATGGCAGTTACAAATATTTAAAAACATGCGTGCCCATTGGAAAACCAGCAACTCAGAATCTCAAGCATCTAAGCTTCATTTAAATGGGGATATAACTGATAAGTAAGAACCGCTAATGATGATGTACACTCAAGGGTTGTGCATGCAAACCAGCACTGTAAATTCAAAAGTACAGCACTGGTAGATCATTGTGAAACATGCTTACTTCAAAAGTTTATGAGATGTCGGAGCATAAGTATCCGCACTAAGTACGGTTAACTAACTCCTAAGTAAAGGCTACCAGTGATATCGAGAGGACTTGGACGTGTTGCGCAGCAGACCATATTAACAACGGACACGACTTAGCATCAGTCCGAATAACCCAAATACAGTTTCTGGTTTTAGTTATTACTTTGTATTCGGTTCCAATAACCTATAGCCCATCAAACAACTTCTAACACATGAATCCGCCCATAAAATTTATAGTCATGACAATACCAAAATAGAAGCCGGATGCACTAGTTAAAGATGAACCATAACAAAAGTAGAGCTCTCAACGTAACTAGAACGCAAGATGTCGAACCACTTTGTGTTCTAACACGTAACTACACTCTATTGAATTTCTACAAAACAGAACTCGTCCTTTGTTTGAAATAAATCTTTCTTTTAAATAATCATAAGCGAATAAAAGTGATCATTTCGGAGAACACTGTTAGAATTGAAGAATCAATAATAAAGATACTTTTATGTATTAAATGATGAACTAAAATTGTAAGAGAAATATGAATGCGTTTTTGTTTCTTCTTTAAATGCTAGAATTACATAGTTAGAGTAGTAAAGCATTCATGAAGATAACGAAAACTAACAGGGGAAAGAGAAAACATGGATATAATGGGAAGATAATCAGCAAGCCATAAATGCACAAAAATTATCACAACAACAACAAAAAGTGTAAGGAACAAAAGGAGATTCTGTTAAATATATAATGAAGAAAAAAGGTTATATAAGAGATATAAGTATATGTATATATTTAATGAGATAATAGTATTCTTTCTGAGAATTCTCTATTTCAGATGATCCATAGAAATTCACTACAATTCGAAAACAAATAGGACGATGTGAGATTAATAAAAAAAACATTCAACTGAAAATCATATACCATTTATATGTAGAATGGACATTTGATTCTATCATGGGGTATGTAGTTGTAACACCTAACACATTTTCCTTTAATTGTTGAATTCATGTGTTGATTCAAGTTACACTACCATGGAAAATCTGGAAGCACTGGACGGATGTTACGTCCCAATATGGGATTTCTCAGCAATGCGCATACATGGTGATCTAGCTTTAATCAACTTATGAATTCAACTATTAAACCACTACAATCTCGACAAACCCCCATCCTGATTTTCCTTTAGTTTTCTTCATGGTTTAGAACAGGTAGCGAATTCGTTAGTATTGTGAAATGGACGCTATAAGAAAGAGATACTTGTGTGTTTGAAGGGTAGACACAAGTAAAGATTGTAAAATGAGGAAACACTAATCCCAGATTTGTCATCTATTACTAAAGTATACAGGTACAAAGCAACGCGGTGATTAAATGTGACTTTCATAGTGCTAATACAAATAATTATTTGGTTTGAACGATAATAATGAAATTAATACCTGTGATAATGTCATAAACTCTGAATAGTCTATTAATAGTGTATAGTTTAAGGTTGAACTCGTCTTGCCCCCAAATGCCCTGGTACGGAAGAGAGCGAGGAGAGTCCGCTCTCCCTCACTCTCCAAATGCTCTCACGGTCACTGCATGGGAAGTCCTACTCACTGTTTTCTCGCACTACGGGTGTTTTTTACGAAATTGAAAAGACGAAAAGCGAATGTCCAACGCTTTACCCGGTTGGTAGATATGGAGGATTCACCTAAGGGAGCTGGAAAACCCTGATTCCAATTCAATGGTGCACATAGGCTCCATGGTCCTGAGGAAACAAATGGCGTATGAACCGGTCGTTGGTCACTGGCTTCCATGGGACTGCATCTCCTCACGATGCTCCACTGCCTTGTGGACCAGACCTTTGGGTCGAATGCTCCGGGTGTGGTCCCCTAAGAAAACCACCCATTTCGGTTTGGTCATCCAGGCAGTATCCCAGCCCTCACATAAACCGAATGATTTGTGTGGCACATATGTATTTGGTGCCCCTTTGTACCAATGCTTATGTGTTTAATATAAATGAATGAATTCGTCTTAAAAACAAAATACATAAAAAACCCTGATATTTATCGAATAAAATTCATTACATAATAGGACAATTAACCTTAAGCAAATGTAAAACTTGACTACATTAGTATTACCGTTAATAATGAAAATGCACGCAAATGCTTTCATCTCATAGAACTTATAAAAAAAATCTGGTGTATTAAACTTGATTGAAAATAAACTAGTTTTTTATGTTGTTGTATCACCTGAGTGTAATCGGTGCAACTACAGACACAATAATGAAATTAATGTCTATTTCATGTATAGGTATGACAGTTATCAAACAATGAATCAAGCAATTTATATTATGGTCTAACGTTAGGAGTGAACAGTTTTTATTATGGATCTCGGTAGTATGTATGAACACATCGGATGTAGCATCTCAGCTACTTAAAGTTTCAAATAAAGACAATAATATGAGTAATTGGATTAAAAATTCAGATGAGACTAACAGTATTTATCAAAGGCGTCTACAGATCATTCCCATGAGATGTTGCTGCTCATATCTATGAGTAGTTTCACATTATTCAAGAGTTACAAAAAGTGAATAAAGAAAATCAGTGACAAGGTTTCTGTCTAAGAAGCCAAGATCGACGTGACCATGATGGTAGGAATCATGTGAGTCAACTGTGTTAATAATGGAAACTGGGGAATCCAGGTATGGGGAATATGTAGAAGGGTAAAAAGAACTCCCTATGACAAGTAGGCTTCAAGACTAGACAAGTGGAGAAAAGACCACATGATGATAGACATCTTTAGAGAACTTATGGAGTGCGAAAACAAACACGTCAATGCTTATATAAATATGCTTAATGATCTTGTGTCAACATTCAGTTTTGCATTAGAGACTAATATAACCAGCCACAGCGAGGCTATAATAAGGCAACAAAGAAGTGAAACAGATGATCAAGAAATTGTGAAGATCAATTGTATGGTTAAGTGATCTAGATCACACAGACAAGACAGATAAAGGTAGAGTGTAAATATCAAGATCGAGATATGACTATGCGATTGGTGGTAAGGGTTTTGCAGTCGGATAAGCGGACTCTCCATTGTTGTGCTGAGAAGCTAACGAAGAGATAAGGTAGGAAGAGTGAATACGGATACTACAGTAATTCCTACTCTCTCCTTGTACATCAGGAAGTGTGAGAAGCAGCACTAAGTGCTTGAGTATTCACGTGGCTCACTTTTGTCCTCAGAAACCTATCCCGAAACACAGAATTAGTGAAAAGGATTGTGAACTTTTTGTTTGGTGGGAAGTGTAAAGGAAGATAGCATATTGATATTTAATTTCCGTTTAGTCGCTTCGAAATCCATTATTATTTATTATTCTACTTACTTACTTACTTTACTTACTTACTTACTTACTTACTTACTTACTTACTTACTTACTTACTTACTTACTTACTTACTTACTTACTTACTTACTTACTTACTTACTTACTTACTTACTTACTTACTTACTTACTTACTTACTTACTTACTTACTTACTTACTTACTTACTTACTTACTTACTTACTTACTTACTTACTTACTTACTTACTTACTTACTTACTTACTTACTTACTTACTTACTTACTTACTTACTTACTTACTTACTTACTTACTTACTTACTTACTTACTTACTTACTTACTTACTTACTTACTTACTTACTTACTTACTTACTTACTTACTTACTTACTTACTTACTTACTTACTTACTTACTTACTTACTTACTTACTTACTTACTTACTTACTTACTTACTTACTTACTTACTTACTTACTTACTTACTTACTTACTTACTTACTTACTTACTTACTTACTTACTTACTTACTTACTTACTTACTTACTTACTTACTTACTTACTTACTTACTTACTTACTTACTTACTTACTTACTTACTTACTTACTTACTTACTTACTTACTTACTTACTTACTTACTTACTTACTTACTTACTTACTTACTTACTTACTTACTTACTTACTTACTTACTTACTTACTTACTTACTTACTTACTTACTTACTTACTTACTTACTTACTTACTTACTTACTTACTTACTTACTTACTTACTTACTTACTTACTTACTTACTTACTTACTTACTTACTTACTTACTTAAGTAAGTAAGTAAGTAAGTAAATCCTTCTCATAGGAATAGAACACTAGGAAACTGTTTGTCATACCAGTTTCGAACTCATCTATACCTACTGGTATCATGGCAACTAAAGTAATCTTCAGACTGCATAATCGTTCCATAATTTTAACCTATCTATTTCAAACAAAACAAAGGACTATCCGATAGTGCTGGTAAATAGCTGTACTCATTCTCGGACATGATTAAATTTGATCAGTCGCCTGTCCATACTATGATCAAAATTAACATAGAAGTCAATAGTCATTGAAAATATGCTGATTCTCTGGGTGGGATATTTGAGAAGATATTTAGATTGAAGGTAGTTTTCGTCGTAGATATCAATGCTTGACAACTTCGACTTCCATAGAGTAACTATGAGACAGAAAATTATCATTCATTTAAATAGCTGGTATAACTTAGTTCGAAATTAAAGAACCGAGGGCAAATTGATACGAGAACAGAAATCTGAATTTATATTTCTCACTACGAGACTATAGGGTTTCATGGTACGGCCACCATATGTCGAAGAGTTGGCATGCACAGCTGAGGACTTAGAATTAAGCCAAAATATTTGTTCAGATGTATTTGATGTCGAAAACCAGTTAGCATCAGTCCATGACGTAAATGATACAGGTAGATAAGCCAAGTAGATTAATCACATATTGTTTAAGCTGATATACGAATAATCCAGAATTACTTCGAGAAAAGTATGTGTATACGTTCAAAAAACTAGAGATTATAAGAAACATAATGATTGAGGTCAAAATCAACAATAAAAAAACACAGACAACTAATCCAGAGAATCTAAGATGGTCTTTTATTAAACGAAACTATAAAGAATAATTACTATATAAGATGTTCTTACCGTTGGTTTCTCACTTTCAGCCAGTGGTTTCTTCTGTGAAACAGTAAGAACAGACAAAAAGCAGTAAGGTATAGACATAATACGGCATATATATATATATATATATATATATAACACCTTGGAAACGTACCTTCAAATTAGTAGAGCCCCAGGTTTGCTGACCCCCTAAACTTGAAGCCAAATTCGACAAGGTGCTGTCTAATGCATCAAGTGGATTCTTGTTTTGTGATGCGGACATAACAACAGCAGGACGTATTGGAACAGTTGAAGGAACAGGTTTTAAACCTTTTATAACAGTAAACAGAGATAAGTTTTGTGCTTAGTAACAATAGCGTATTGAGTTATAATAAGAGGAAATATTTGAAAAGTGAATAAAATGAGCAAAAATCTAACGAAACCAGTAATTGCTCACGAAAGCGGTGCCAATCTAAATATCATACAACGTGCAGTAGACAACTGCTTTGTCCCAGCACACAACTCTTTACAGAAGTGACACGCGCCTACGATCTTGCAAACGAATAAATCGAAATTAGTCAAGACTTTCACCGAGCCACTCAACTAGGTTTTAAGTTATGTATGATTGAGTTGGAATGTGTAGATAGCTATCATAGTATTGAAGGTTAATATTTTCTAATACATTCTTTATGACGATTCATTGTTGGAGCTGGATAGTTATTACAGCACTAGAAGCATCCATTGTTTTAAATTTTCAAGTACAGCATACTGACAAACACCAACACAAAAACTAGGTCGAGAAGGATCACTTGTAGAATACCTTGACGTAGCTTTCATTCAGACATAGTACATGCGATATCGAATAATTTGAGATTCAGTTATATATCAATTTAGCCCCCAAATACCCTGGTAAGGAAGAGGGTGAGGAGAGTCCGCTCCTCCTCTCCAAATGCTCTCGATTGACCACGCTTATACAGTCACTGTACAGAAAGTCCTACTCACTGCCTTCTCGCGGCATTACTGTTATATACTAAATCGAGAGGACGAAAAGCAAATATCCAGCGCTTTACCGGGTTGGTGGACACGGAGGGTCCACTTAAGTGAGTTGGAAAACCCTCACTCCAAACCAATGATGCACGTGAACTCCGGGATCCTGAGACAACAATTAACGTATGAGCCTACTGTTGGTTACCGGCTACTTTGGAACTGCATCTCCTAACGTTGCTCTACTTCCTTATGGCTCGGGGTGTGGTCCCCTAAGAAAACCACCTGCACCCGGACACTATCCCAGCCCTCACACAAATCGATTGATTTATGTGCCGCCTATCTGTTTGGTGCCTCCTTAAACCAATGTTTATTTTTAAGTGAATAAATAAGTTGTAGACCGCCCCTGGTTGTTATTTATAATCACATTTATTTCTGTTTTTAACCAAGATAAAGACAAGCTAACATTACTGCATTACCATCATTTAAACCCACTGGTTGATTTCATTTAGTTATGCCTAATACCGTAAGGAAACTTGGGTTAATAAGCATTTGTTTCAGGCTTTAAAATTGATTATGACGGGTTGGTAGCTTAGTGGTTAGTAAATAACAGATCTTAGAAAAGATGAAAATTCGTTAATCAACAGGGTGTGTGTGCATGTGTATGAGTGTAAAATGTATCTATTCAATCGAATGATTAACATATTACACTGTTGCATAACTGTGAACAATCAATGATACGAAACGTTTTGAAAGTATATCCTCGAACTATGTAATTTCAATTTTATAGTTAGAAAAAAAATCTGGCTTCAAGAGGTATTTCCTAGAGTTCTAGTGAGAAGCAATCACCAGTGGAGTTCAACCGAGTCTATTGTGAGTTAGTAACTCACCAAAGACAATGGTGGACGATGGCACAATTATATATTAACACCGTTGGATGCCAGCTCAGTGGTTTAAAAGTTAAGCGTTCACGCACAAGACCGCTAGGTCATGGGTTTCGAATCTTACGAGGCAGGATCGTGGATGCGCATTGCTGAGGTGTCCCATACTAGGACGAAACGGCCGTTCAGTGTTTTAAGGTTTTCCATGGTGGTCTAGCTTCAATTGACTCATGAATTCAACTATAAAATCTAATAACATCCATGTATGTCATTAAAACACTTAATGATAAAGATGTAAACCTTCTTAATAGATTCAATAATTTTCTTGATGTTATCCAAGAAAACATATCCAATCTAGGTTAGATCATAAATCCCTGTTGAGTCTATCTACTTGTTTAATCGAACAAAAGGAAACTGTAAAATAGTAGACAATAATCACTCCAGGAACAAATATAGGCAAGAATTAACTACAGCTTAACTAAACAAATAATAATGATGTTAATCCATACAAACCTGGAGGCAGTGAATTATTAAACGATGTAGGGGGATTATTCACTGGTATCTTTGTAGTAGTAGTAGTAGTACCACTGACGGAATCTTTCTCCAAAAGAGGATCTAATGCCAATAAGTCATCAAAAACTTCAAATAGAAAAAAAATTACACGGAACAGTTATAAAATGAAGTCACAGTATTAAGATCGTTGAAATATTCAACGTTAAAAAAAACTTAATGACGTAGTATACACAGGTTCTTTTACTCTTATTTTTTTTGTATGACAGCTTGTAATTAAGAGAATGTAGTTACTAAGTACACATATGTGATATTTGATATTCAGCTAGATTGTCAGTACAAAGTGTAGTGATATTATTCGATTATATATAATGAAATAGTCAGTAGTCAGCCCTAAGTCACATGGAACCTAATGTACATGTATACATCAATTCATATTGTTATATCATATCAATACAGTAAGACAAAACTGTTAATACATATCTTACATAAGGTATAAACACTGTGATTCGAGAAAGAATGAATTTCTGAGATAAAAATGTATAAGATCATTTGAAAAATTAGAGTCGAATAGATCTAGATCATTAAATAATCTTAGAACGTGTTACACAACGTCTCCTTCAACTATAAGTCATGAAGGTTAAGATGTTAGTCAGTCAGTCAGTCATACGCAACTTAGTATTATCGAGATGAACTTATTTCAAGACAGATCCTAGACTAAATAGTAACAATATCAATAATATCAAGAAAGACAAAGTATAGAAGAAAAATGGTTTTAAAATAATTTCAGGACTCCAGTTCTAAAAGAAGATAAAGAGAGAATGTGTTTGTCTGAGATATTTTGGACGATTCTGAATCATTTCATCCCAAGTCTCTAATAATTGGTTACAATAATCATGTGAATCCCGATCATCGAGATAGGTGGCCTTGTTAATGCATATATGACATACATACATCAATCACCTCAGTATATGAAGATTTATTACTTCATTAATCGAATTTTTGTATTTATCTAGTACTCTATACCCTAGTCTCAGAACTTCTCACTAAAGAAAGTCACAATTAAACAAAAATATTATGATTTCCATAAAGGTTCTTCTATATGTACATATATTTCTGTGTGGGTGCGGTATGAGTGTTGTTTACGACATGTAGAGGACGCAAAGTAAATGTCCAGCGATTTAACCGCGTCGGTGGATGAGGAGTATATACGTAAGGGGGTTGGAAAACCCCCCACTTCAAACCAATGGTGAACGTGGACTACGGGGTCCCGAGGGAAGAAATAGCGTATGAACTTATTGTTGATTACCGGCTACCATATTTTGATGGAGTTTTGTTCTCTGATGTGGGTGGTTTGGTCATGGAGCCTTCATCGTTTTTCTGAACGATATCGTGAGCACAAACTTCAGATAGAAGTGAAGCGTTTGAATTTCTCCATATGTGGTTCACAACTTGTCCTGTAGACCTCAATGTTGATTGCTTCTTGTTAACCTTAAACCTGTCATTGTTCATTTTTTTGTTTTGGTTGTATCTCCTATTGGTTTGACTTTTGGTCCTATGTTTGTGCATACTTTTCCTGATTGGTTTATAAGTTGGGTCGATTTCAATGTGCTTGTTGATTGCTGATTGACCTATGTGCCAAGCTTCTGAAAATTCTCTGGTGTTTTTAAGATTTCCTCTATGCAAGATTTCCGCATTTTTCCAGTCAAATGAGTGTCCGCAGTTGTCCACATGCATTGATGTAAGCGAGGACATGTCATGGCATTTGACTGCTAATTGATGTTCATGCAGGTGAAGATGAAGAGGGCGGCCGCTTTGTTTGATGTAGTGTTTTTCGCAGTCGGCAAAATTTATTTTGTAGATGATGTTTGATTTTTCGTCCTTTGGTTTGCATAGGATTGATTGTAGTGATTTTGTTGGTTTGTACGCAACACCTATTCTGAAGGTTTTCAGCAGTCTCGTTGCGGTTTCTGATATGCCTTTTATGTATGGTAAGGTGATACTTTTGTTGATTTCTGTGCTTGACTTTGTTTCTGGTGATGTGTTCGGATGGTATTTTTTGATGAAGTTGATTGGGTAGCCGTTCTTTTGGAAGACGGTCTTCAGGTATTTCTCTTCATTCTTTCGTGCTGCCAGCGTGTTGTATTGTGTCCTTGCCCTCTTGAATAGCTTGCACGCAGTTGATTTTGTGAGATCTTGGGTTGCTGCTATAGTAGTTGAGAATTTGATCTGTATGTGTCGGTTTCCTATACACTTGAGTTTCCAGTTTTCCTGTGTCGATGACATCAAGTTCGCAACGGAACAGCAGTCAAACAACAAACTATCATTCTTGGATGAATGAATCACCTAGAGATTAAAATCCTAAACCGAGTTAGTGGGTACTTAGGGTTCAACCCAGCGAAATCGGGGAACACTGATTCCCAAACGATGATGTACATAGGCTAAAGAATTCTCAGGGAAAGAACGAATGGCGTAAGTACTCATTCCGGTGACCGGCTAAAATGGAACTGAATCATGTAATGTTGTTGTACTGCTTTGTGTATTAGGGTTTTAGGTCAAAGGTCCGGGAAGTAGTCAACTAAGCAAACTACCCTTCATACCTGAAGCAGGACCTGTTGTATTGGTAGTAGTAGCAGTAGTATTGATAGCTGAAGGCTTTGATTCAGACTCCTTTCCAACAGACTCAGTTTGAGCTGAGAAAGGTATAGGTTCAATATTGGTTTGTGGAATAGAATCATTAGTGGACCATAAGTCAAGACCAAGTAAATCATCGATTGCTGAATGTTGATTGCTACCATGCATTGGTTCAACATGAGCTATAGAGAAGAGAAATGGAGCATAAAAAGACACATTACATAATTAATAAGTCAATTCTTAAAAGCAGTATACTCAATAAAGCATAAAATTATTATTATACTATGATCGACTACCAGATAAGTTCGATCCATTGGTAAAATCACAAGTTCCCAAAAAACAATACAAAGAATAAATACATTTCTAGCCCATTCCAACTGACTTTTGAATTGCATTACCTCCAATCATTTATCATGACCATCTATCTCTAAGATTTGTAAATACTTGCCTATCTACCTACGTAAGAACACGCTGGCTAATAAAACTATCAATGATTTTATGGATTAATATCATGTAGTGGGTTTGACAACACTTGGCTTTCTCTAAACCTACTCTTCCTCCAACCTAAGTGAAGAGATAAAGAGTTAGTGCATCTGCGCCATATCACGTTTTCAACTATTGATCAAACTTATCGTGCTGAACCCAACCAGGTTGTCTGGATATATCAACATGGTTCAGATCAACAGTCACTAACTTCATATACCGATGGCACTTCAAAGTTTGGGTGGCCCTAGATTTCTTCCAACAAACTACTACGCCACTCATGAATAAACACTGAGGTAGGCAGTGGAGAGAGCTTACGTGAAAACGTCTCTACCATCTCAGTCGATGAAGGTTCACTACCCTATCAACCAATTTGGCAACCTTACATAGTATTAGCATCTAACCCGTTATTCTTTAGACATTAATCCTTTCAACAGTGAACATCATTTCAACTACTCAGTAAACATAAGTAAGGATATGATATTAGAAGAGACAGTAAAAGAGATAGAAAGTGTTGCGGTAATAAATAACTGTAGACAATTATTAAAATTAATCAAGTAAACAAGTGTTAAAAATGCAGCTGTCAGTGAGATTATGTCGGAAGATGTAACTGTTGTTCACTCTCAGTTCAGGATATTAACCATATGAGAACATTTTAAGTAACGATTCAACAAGCTTTCAACTGCCCTTTAGTTACTAACTATCTCAATATCATATAACACAATTACCCCGTATTACTACGAAAGATGTCTGGTGTAGAAGTAGATTGAAGGAAAGCTAAGAGCACCCAAATTATAAACTGACATCAGTCTATGAAGTCATTAACAATTGGGCTGGCCAATGTTAAGACGTTCAGACTATCTGGTTAGGGTACGAGTGACTGTCACGATCAATAGTTAGAGATTTTGAATGACAAGATGCAGAATCGTCCATGATAGCGTAAGTGCAAACGTTTCTTACATTCCCTTAGTCCCTGAAATCTTTCTACACCTTTTTTTTCTTCTCCTATACCATATATCAAATACATAACTTGCATATCGTCCATCAGTTGTTGCTTACGTGCTTCATGATTCTTGTAATTCCGTTGTCATTACAATTACTTTCTGTTTTCTTCAATTGAATCTTACCAATCTTCTACTAGCATACATGCCACCTCCGATTGATGCTACATAATACTTATATCTATCAACATAAGAAGCACACACCACACTACTACTACTACTAACATCGTTACTACTTCTATTGCTCAAGGATTTGTCTTGAAATAATTCTGTTTCGCTGTGCTAATATGGTACGGCAACTTGAACCAACGCATATGTGTCGGGTTCTACTCTATCATATCACTGATAATACATATATATGTATATACATTTATTGGACAAATAATTATCAGAAATTTAAACTAACCTTCTGATGATTTATTTGACCATACATTAGTATCAGTATCAGTTACCGGTTCAACTGGTTCTTCATCACCAGCAAAAGGACTAGCACATACAGATGCAGAATCAGTCTGTGCATTCACTTCTACATTAAGACCTTGAAGCAGTTGACAAAACAAACACGGAATAGTTTATGAATGTAGAAGATATGATAGAACAAAGATATTTTGATATAATCTTGGTTAGTAAGTATCAATTTCAAACAATCATACATAAATACATTGGGTGTATTGATAAACCAGTGACCAACTTTGTTAACTGAACGGGTTAGAAATGAGAAATAATATACATTAACAGAATCGAAGCCTAGTACAATTCGACAGTATGACTTCTCACTCGATTATATATATATGACTCCGACGGCAGCTCTTCTGGGGTAACTATAGGCCGGACTACCTGCTTTTACTTTCGATTCTAAGACTGCCTTAATCTGAGGCTTGTGTTATTTTTGATCGCTGCTGATTGCTTTCGTTATCAAACGTAAACGCATTGTGTGCGCTTGCTGTGTTGTCGACTTGCCTTTTCTTGTGTTCTCCTATTTCCTAACCCTCTTCCTCGCTCACAATGCTCTACATTCTTCATTAGTATGCAAAGTACCTTCTGGCTAGACGCGAACTGTGACATTGGTCCCAATATCGAATAAAAGAGGATTGACCGTGACGTCACATCAGTACATAAATAAATAATTTATTATGCAAAAAATTAGGGTTAAGAGTTAGAATTACACTCGAAGAATCATCTGGAACTAATCATACCGTAGTAGACGCGACACACAAAGATGTTTATAAGTAGTGTATAGCTGAACATGACGTCGAAGTTGCAACAATTGTGAAGACTTTCAGGGCATCAAAAGCACGGCATCGATAGAACATTTGGAGACCAGATGAGAAGACAGTATAGATGACAGAAAACACCGAAAGATGTGAATGGAAGATTGTAAACTATGAATATGTATTATGTAGCTTTTCACAATAAACATACATTTCTACTGCTTATTGTCGCATTTTACATTGGTTATGGAGAAAGTTCTCTGATTTCAAGTCATTACAACGATTGAACAAGAATTAAAACAAATCATTCAAATCAATTTACCTAATGATGATGAATTATGTTTTGTCTTATTGATACCATCAGTATTGTCCTCATCAATTGCTTCACTATCGCTTGCACTGATCGATGGCTGTTTCGGTGTAGTTTTCTCATATTGACGGTTAGGTGATGGGGGTGGACGAGCTGGTGATGGTGATCGTGAACGTGTCGGTGGCACTGATACAGTTCGATGTTCCGATCTATGTAATGATTTTTTTAAAGACAGTTTTAATATGATATGAAAAAGTAAAAAGTTCACTTAAGAATTAAGGAACGGACTTGAGTTAAAACCCACTACAATATCTCCATCTAGTTATGCTGATCGCACTAGGCTGTAGGTGAATTATTTGGAAGGTATCTTTGACCGAGAATTCGCGTTGATATACTGGTCTACATGCTACGAATTACTGTGTATCGTGATAGATGAAAATCCGATCCTCAGATAGGCGTGACTACAAAATATCCTGCAGCTCCAAAAATGCCCTTAAGATGTCATCCACACACAAGCTGAGTAATCGTCCGTTCAAAGTTTTGTGTCGATGACCGCGTACATAGATTCCTTGAACGTGTAGAATAAAATAGTCAATGCTTTGGGTTATGATACATACTTCTAAGCCAGAACACAAACAGTCTAGTACAAACCAGCTGTGTGCCAGACAGAAAATTAGTGAATGGGAAGTCAGACTACAGTATCCCAACAGTGTAAAACGTTTGGATTAGAAACAATAAATAGGCAGATTTCATATAAATAATATACGAGTCAGAGTGAACAAGCACACAACAACCACTCTATGTGATTTCCGTTGCCAGATCAAGAAACCTGGAAGTAAAGAGAACAACAATAAAACCAGATGACAGGCTAGATAGATGAAGTGGTGGCTTATCAGTTAAAGTATTCAACTCTTAACCAATGAGGTTGCAACTTCTAATCCCGTTCCACCTAATTCAGTTTGAGTGACCTGCTAGTACTATTAGCCTTTGCGTAAATAGTGTGGGTAAAAGTCGAATAAATAAACCAGTGCTTAGTAGGTGAATCGCATCATCCAATCACTCCCCTAGGTTGGCTCTCCGTGTCCACCAACCCGGTTAAAGCGACGGAGATTCGCTTTTCGTCTCTGCAATTTCGTAAACAACGCCCCACTGCGAGGCATTGAGTAGGACTTCCTTGTTAGTGACTTTATACGCGTGTCCATGTGAGAGCATTTCGAAAGGGAGAACTAACTCTTCTCACCCTCGGCTGTACCAGGACATTTAGGGGGGTAGCACTACACGACACGGGAAATTATTTTACAATAATGATGCATAAAGATTATATTTAATATGATAGCATTCACCTGCCCAATTGTGTATGTACTGGAACTTTAACTGCACCTTGTTGAGTTGAACGTTTTACAGCTTCGGAACTCTTGACAAGTGTTTCATTTAAGTGACCTTTAGCAGTTGCAATTATCTCCTCTTGTAAAGCGGAAGGTAATCCATCTGAAATATAAAATTCTTGTGGAGATTATAGAATTTTCAGAGATTTTTTTCAAGTCAAAAACTGATCTTCGTTAAACAATTTTTGGAAACTTGGAAGAACTGGACATCCCATTTTGTTCCAGTATAGTACAAGCTACTAAATTGTATGAACGCCAATTTCACACACAAACACACACTACTACCAGTCAGAAGTATGCAACACAGAACCTGTAATGGGTATACACCGATTCAAATTGCCATATCCCACTAGTACAGCGAGATTAAATTGTCAAGGCGAATCCCAGAATAACAGAGGTAGTCAGTCACTCAGTCAGCTACAACGTAAGACCAGGCACATATATGCATCGGTCCAAGTTGCTATACCGCATTATCACAACAAGAGGAACATCGTGTTCATAAAAGTAGTTAAGTCAATGGTAGTAATATATAAAAGATTGTGTATAAGGATATAGTACAGGAAGAAAGAATTATTTCGTAGAAATAAAGATATGAGGCAATTTTCATCTCACAGTTTAACGAAAGACAAAGAGTACATACACCTACGTCATTGTGATCGATTCTGAGCCATGACACCAAGAGTCTCCAACCAATGGTTACGATAGTCACGCGGACTACAAACAAGTAGTCTGCATCTACCAACATGGCTCAGATAAGAAATTAGTGACTTCAAGCACTGATGCCACGTTTTGGTTTGGCCGCCCCTAACTTCTTCCAACCATCCCCAACACCAGTTAGCATTGCACGTCGTGGTAGTCGGTGTTCAGGCATATGCAACACAACACGTGACCCAACTATCTCAGTCGATGAAGAGTTGCAACCTCATCAACTGATATACCATCACTCCTTAATACCCTGCGCTTCTAGCCTCACTAATACTTACGCCAATTTCACACACAAACACACACTACTACCAGTCAGAAGTATGCAACACAGAACCTGTAATGGGTATACACCGATTCAAATTGCCATATCCCACTAGTACAGCGAGATTAAATTGTCAAGGCGAATCCCAGAATAACAGAGGTAGTCAGTCACTCAGTCAGCTACAACGTAAGACCAGGCACATATATGCATCGGTCCAAGTTGCTATACCGCATTATCACAACAAGAGGAACATCGTGTTCATAAAAGTAGTTAAGTCAATGGTAGTAATATATAAAAGATTGTGTATAAGGATATAGTACAGGAAGAAAGAATTATTTCGTAGAAATAAAGATATGAGGCAATTTTCATCTCACAGTTTAACGAAAGACAAAGAGTACATACACCTACGTCATTGTGATCGATTCTGAGCCATGACACCAAGAGTCTCCAACCAATGGTTACGATAGTCACGCGGACTACAAACAAGTAGTCTGCATCTACCAACATGGCTCAGATAAGAAATTAGTGACTTCAAGCACTGATGCCACGTTTTGGTTTGGCCGCCCCTAACTTCTTCCAACCATCCCCAACACCAGTTAGCATTGCACGTCGTGGTAGTCGGTGTTCAGGCATATGCAACACAACACGTGACCCAACTATCTCAGTCGATGAAGAGTTGCAACCTCATCAACTGATATACCATCACTCCTTAATACCCTGCGCTTCTAGCCTCACTAATACTTACCCGTTGATTCTAGCAGATGCCAGAAATATTTCTAAGGTATCTGTGATCAAATACTTGTAGCTTACGAGTATCTTCGACTCTTCATGGCCATGTTTCGCAACCTTAAAGTAGAACGGAACGAATTGCCGCACAATATACTCGTCCTTTTATTAATAGACGGATATCTCGCCTTCGCCATAGGTAACGTAAGTTGGCAAAAACCAAAAGAGCTTTCTGGATCCGTGCTGAGATTTCGTCAGACACCAACACATTAGGGCTTATCAGACTTCCAAAATAAGCGAAGTTGTCAACGCGTTCGACTACTTCACTCCCTATCCTTGGTTCAGGTGTTGACGCAGACCAGAGGTAGTAACTGTACTAGTGATAATAAACGTTCAAGAAACAATTCGAGAGGAAAAGATGGACTAGTGAAATAAAAAGGATCTATAAGGTAATTTAGAGACTTAAGTTTTAGAAGACAAATAGTGAGTGAAATCGCACCGCTGCGAATGGTTTTGAACTACGTCACCCCAGATCTCTAACTATTGACTGCGCTGATCACGAGATCACTAACTAGTTAGACTGCATCTGCTTATATGGCGAGAAAGTAGTGAGTAGGACTTCCCAGGCAGTGGATGTATACGTGTGACCATGTGAGAGAATTTGGAGGGGGAGAACGGACTCTCCCACCTTCGGCCGTACCAGGGCATTGGGGGCGAAAACCATTGAGCACACTGGACAGCCGTTTCATTCTATTATTAGACTCTTCAGCAGGAGTGTACACGCAAATCCGTCAGTGGTTGAAACCAGATATTTCAGTTCTCGCGTCGGACGCCTAATCATTGACTAGTCTTTGTGCCATATGACAAATCGATTAAAGTTGAAATTATATGATTAAACGACAGTCCAGTTTAGATAGTTAAGCGCCCACCAATGAACCTAAAGGTTTTCGGTGCGATCCTTGGTGGGGTCGTGGGTGTGCACTGATGAGGAGTACCATGCTAGAACAAAACGGCTGTTCAGGACACTTTGATTCTTAATAGTACCCCGGCCGAGATCAATCTACGATTATCACAACCCATGGATAATAGTATTGCCCAAAGGAACTTATTAACGGAAGGTCGGATGTATTAACCGCTAAGCCACCTCCGTTAATATGACGTAGGTTGTTGCTTGTTTCAACACTATAGGGAAAGAACTAAGTTAAAGAGGTTTCAGGATTAATTTCATTGGTGCGTGCAGGACATAGGATCAGCTGATAAAGACATTGGTTGTTGGACTAAACCATCTAGGTAGATGCAGACTAATTAGTTGTTATCCTCATGATTATTGTAACCAATGGATTTAGCCCTGACAATTTTATCTCGCTGTGCTAGTGGAGTATGGCTACTTGAACCGATGTAAACATGTTGCAGATTTAACAGTGCATTTGACTGATTCACTGAACACACGACTGTAGTGGAAGAGGATTACATTATTTTATCAAAAATTTGACAGATGAAATCACACACAATGATTTAAAATATACCGTGCCGGATGCGAAGCCTGAATTTCCCCAGTTAACTCCTATGAGAGACTGTAACATGCGAGCAGTGTTGATGTTGACTTCCAAAGATTATAACGAAAATAATCATCATGACTACACTCTGGTTTCCAAGTAACACAATAAAAAATTGATTCTTGATAAAAATTACCTTCTAAAAACGATTATTATTTTATTGACATTGTGTTCAAGTGTACTCCATAAAATTTTTATTGATTAAATAACTTATCCAAACTGACCTTCATCATTTAAGACCAAAGTTGGATATGATGCAACAGTCGGTTCAGTTGTATCATCGTTCAATTGTTCAGATTGATCCAGAATATTAGAATCATGTGTTTTGTTTATTGATTCAGCAGCGTCATTGTAATCTCTGTTTCGATTAGGTGGATTATGGCTAGAAATCTTGTTAGCTTCAGTGGAGATTACGGTTTGACTTGGAATAGGTACAGGGAGTGTTGGCTTCTTTGGTACATTTGGTTTGGTTGAAGTATGAGTCTCTTCATCTTCATCATCTGATCTAGAAAACAAAACATATTCGCCATCGAGGATAAATTCTCGAGAATTTCCAAAAGTTATATATGCATATATATGGGATAGTTTACCATAAAATTCATAGGTTACTGGCATCTGATCATAGATGTCTTCGAATCGCTGCCTAAGTATGTTCAGACTACTATGGGCAACGACGAATTTTGGTGTAGTGCATCATCCAAGTGTAAGTTAATTTTGCAAGACTAGCAAAACCCTGAACCTGAGCTCACTCCTGGTAGTGAGAAGTTAGAAGTCAAAAAGTTCGTGTATTTAGGTAGCTGTGTGTAAGTGCTGACAACTGAAGTAGTTAGGACGTGTAGTAAGTATGGCCAACTACTGCCTGCCTCGACAAGTGATGTTGGCTCGTATAGGAGTAGGATGAAAGAAACCGAGAGGCAACAGAAACAAGACATGGTATCAGTTCATAAAGTTATTGAATGAAAGACTAACATGTGTTGACCTTGGTTAAAATCAACACGATATCGTAATCTGTGTTTTCGAAGCTTTGAGACACAAAACTTCACAATTATATAGTGAGGTTCTACCCATACACTATCTATTTGCTCATGCTGAATTAGGGTTTAAACCCCGTGACTAATGGAAATTTGAATGCATAAAAGGCATGAGACATGACTTAAAACAATAAGATCATTCTTTAAAAATAGGAAAAACAACGTACCCCTTTTTACTTTCCAAAATTTGCAAGTGTTGCTCCATGGCTTGAATAACTTTCTCTGGGACCTGAATGAGTGGAATCAATAAAATCAAGTATTGTGGAGATAGGAAATAACAAAGCAAATAGACAATAAATAGATATTGACTAGTTAGCAGTTTTTTTAAGTATTGACTTTATAAAGAGAGCTAGAAAAAAAATATCCAGAAACACTGTTCAACTGTTTCGAACTATGACAGAACTCTCCTTCAGAAATGCGCATCTACGATTTTAGGTCACGAAGTTACATTCTTGGTGGAATAGTCGATCGACACTACTGAATAGTTCCACACTAGAAAGAAACAGTAGTTCAATACTTCCTGGTTTATAATCGCTTATCATGAGTATCTTCGAAGCATTGCTTATATATCCTGGGACCACCGAGTAAGTAATGCAGTTGTTAGGAAACGGGTACTAGGTAGGAATGGCAAATCAGTTGATGAAGTAGTGAAACTTCATCAGTTGAGATGGTTGGGATATGTGTTACGTATGCCCAACCACCGACTACCTCGACGTGCGGTGTTCAGTGGTATAGGAGTAGGTTGGAAGAAAGCTAGGGGCGGCCAGACCAAAACATGACACAAATCGATTAAGTCACTGACAAGTGGACTGAGCCATGTTGGTAGGTGTAGACTACCTGGTTGGAATCCGCGAGACGATAGCAACCGATAATTAGAAACCTTGGATGACATGGTTCAAAATCGTTTGCTATGGCGCAGGTGCATCCACTCTTTGTGTTCTCCCAAATTCTAATCTCAATTCTTCATATCCCTTTTTTTTTTCCAAATTTATTTCACTGGATTATACTTCTTGAATAACATCTTCAAACCATAATCTTTCCGATTACTGCTTATACTTTTACTACCTCTACCACTATGGGATTTGAATCGACAATTGTATCTGTGTGCTAATGTGGTATGGCAACTCGAACTGATGTACGTAAGTAAGAAGTTCTACGTTGTTGCTGACTGATCGACTGATTTAGGCATTGACTGGAATTCCCAATCCTGTTAAAATGAGGCGATAAAAATAATTGATTTTCCGGAGAGGACATTGATTAGAAGCTTCTATGCCCCACATCGCATAGCCGATATACATAATCAAAAACACTGTACAATAATTTTAAAAATGTAACTTCGATAATACATACTTGTCGATTATAAATTGGTATCAAACCTTCATGGATTTCATTTATATAATTTATTTCTGATATTCGAGTATTTAAATTACTGAGCTACGTACTTAACAGAACTCAAAGATATGTTAGGGCTATTAATATTATTTAGCCAGAGTAGGTAACATCCCAGCATTAACTCTCTAGCTGAGCCTTCTCCTAGTCAAACGATGAAATGTATAAATTATTCACGATTAGTCACTAAGATTGTGAGAGATATCAGAGTGTTAGATTCCACTTTATGTGAGTAATTTGAGTTACCAAAGGAAAACAATAATTACACATCTGTATGTTTAGACATTATTATCAAGTTGAAACTTACCGGTTGTAGACCTAGACTATCCTTATCGCCAATTCCCAAACTCTATAAACACAAGAAAATTAACACGAAGATATTCGAAAATTATGTATTGAAAAAAGGGTTATAGAACTATTCGGGAAACGACATGATATAAATAGCTGTAGCGCTTTAGCAACACAGTGTAATTACTAATATAGCGATGAATATATATGCAGTCGTTTAAGTTCAACCGCCTTCCATTTGTGTGACCTAACAAATTGCCCAAAAGAACTTGATTACTTTTCAACAAAGGGATTAGATCGAATCAATAGTGATTTTTTTTTGGAATTTTAATAATCCAGCTAAGTGAAGTTGTGAACTACTCCTGTTGTGTTCTTGAATGAATACTTAGCCAGTTGGATTGAGTACTAGTGCATTATAGCGAGGGAACGCTAGTGACAAATGTATATAAATAATTCAGGGGATTCTATTACAACTTTACAAGACCGCAATTATTAATCTGTACCATGTACCATCAACCAAACTACTCGTACATGTTATCAAGGTGATCCGTTATATCTTAGACATTAAACACACTATATATGGATTTCCGTTAATACATGCAAAACTGAGTTCAATATGACTTCAAATCTACAAAAAAAGACAACATAAGACCAAATTACGAATGTTCATATAATGATTTCCAATAAAAAGCAGAACTCGTTATTACATTTAAGGAAAAATGTGTAGTTGGAAAGGCTTTTAAGGGCAATCTAAAATTGAATAGTGGGTAAGTACTTACAATAAATGATACATACCTCAGCAAGTGCAAGGAATTCAGTAAGCTTCGATAATAAACCTGGAAAAGCATGATATAGGTCCAAGCCAAGACGACATTGTCTTCGTTTCAAAGTAAAGTATTTCTCTATACATCAATAAATCAATAAATAGAAGTATGAGGTTGTGGAGATTGAATTTCATTGAAATTGTGAACTGAACAATGCTAAATGATCACTGAAAACCTAGAAGCATTGGATGGCTATTACGTCCAGGTGTGGAAATCTTCAGCAATGAGCATCCAACAGTCCACACGCGGGAATCGAACCCAGGACCCTCATTCTCTCTCTAGACCACTGAACGGGCATCCAGCAATGTTAATGCCTAACTTCGACTAATAAACGATACTTCATGAGAGACTGGAGGTCCTAGGTAAGATTCCTGTGTGCGGAGTCGAGTATGAGCATTAATGAAGAGCCCTATAATAGGATAAATGGCCGGATAATGCTACCAGGTTTTTAATGGTGATCTAACATTGATTAATTCATGATTTCAATTAGCAACAATTAGCATAAAATCTGGGTTGATCAAGTTTTTTGTGGCTGCCTTCAATCTCCTAGAGCAAGCAATACTCCACCTGAGGTTGTCCAAACAGAAATACATAGTTCGAACATAGGATACAAACTAGTTAACTGTTAGGTAATGCTTGCATATGAATAGATTGTGACATAAAAATACCAGTACAACTATGTACAAAAAGTAGTTATTATTATTTATTTATTTGAACACATGAAAAACGGTACAATGAGGCACCAAATACATATGCGCCACACAAATCTCATTCGATGTGTGAGGGCTGTGATAGTGCCCGGGTGCCCAAACCGAAGCAGGTGATTTTCTTAGGGGGCCATACCCGGAGCCTTCGACCTGAAGGTCTGATCCAAAAGGCAATGGAGCAACGTAAGGAGATGCAGTCCCATGGTAGCCAGTGACCAACAATTGTTTCGTACGCCATTTGTTCCTTCAGGATACTGGAGCCTATGTGCACCATTGGTTTGGAATCAGGGTTTTCCAGCTCCTCTAGGTGGACTCTCCATGTCCACCAACCCCGTTAGAAAGTTGGACATTCGCTTTTCGTCCTCTGAATTTCGTAAACAACACCCCCGCCACGAGTAGGCAGTGAGTAGGACTTCCCTAGCAGAGGCTATATACGCGTGGTCATGTGAGAGCATTTCGAGAGGGAGAGAGGACTCTCCCCACTCTCGGCCGTACTAGGGCATTTTGGGGGCACAAAAAGTAATTACAATTACATTGTTATTACCTTATGGTTTGAATTTACAATTATAGGGTACACAAACATATATGTACTAAGCCAGTGATGTATAAGAGATGACATTATTTTAAAATAGTCTACAGAATGCGACCAATAAATACAGCACGAATACAGAGTTGCACATTGTTAGAGATGTCCAATTCCCAAATACAACTACTTATAGTGAAGGAAGTTAATATCGATTTGTGATCAATGTTAAGTCAAATTTCAAAATATTTGCGTTTATAAGTTTTAGTCATTGTAACCGACTAACTCAAATGTACTTTTAAATCTGTTCAGATCATGATCGACGAAGCCTTTATTACGAAACTGGACTTTTCACTCAAGTTAATAGAACAGAGAAGTAGTTACGTTCATTGTATTGATGTCGAGAAATACAGGCTTAATGAAAGAACATATCACACACACTTTAAAACACAGTTAGGAAGCAAGATAATTTCTAAACTTTAACTAATTGTTATATGGGTAGATCAATTCATCATTGTTATAACAAGGATAGATGACTTGATTGCACACTACTTGTGAGATTTAGCTTTGAACCTTTTTCAACTTATTCGCTAACTTGTTAGAGGATATTGTGTTTTCGACGAGATACTGCATTTTGACTAATTTGGCTGATGATATTATTATACATCACCTACAGAATGTTAAACTATTGATAAAGAGTATCTTATTTGGTTGCAATCAACCAATGTCATTCGGAGAAGGCATGAAGTTCATAAATGAGGTTGCTTTACAAGCATAAGTTTCAAGTGTTACGATTAGGATGTTAGCATTTCAACAATCTACATACCTTATAATTTCATCGTTTATTAGAAATATTTTATTTACAAATGCGCCATAATAACTAGGTGACACTTAATCGGTTGATTTTAAGATCAACCTTAGGATCACCTAAGTTCTATAGGATTCAGATTCAAGTAGAGAGGAATCATAAAAAAGGTACAAAAGAATGAACACTACCATAATATTACAAACAAATACGTCAATTTCAGAAACATCGATACGACCATTCACAAAATTACGTTAGCGTTGTTATAGAATCTCAGTCTCATGACAACTCCGAGAACTGACTTTTCAAATTTGACACTAATTAACATATGGTTGTTATTGGTGTGAGGAGTTTGTCCAGACTATTGAATTTCGAAGTTCAGATCAAGGACTAACTTGAACTAGACAACCATTGTAAGTTGGGGAACCGTAATCACCTGTCGCTTCCTAGCATAGGACAGGATCATTCCGGACTAAGGACTGACTCTACTACCCTACATGTGGGGTCGTGAGTAAACATTGCTGAAGGGTCTTTTACAATGATGAAACAGTCGTGTTAATGTTCTCGGATTTAAAACAGTTTTCTAGCTAAAAACCAATTTGCGATGCAAACTATATGAGAAAGAAAGTCAACAACTACACCAAGCTGATGTTGAATAACTTACCTATCAAATTAATCATACCCTCATTATATGAGGCAAATAGACGAATCAGATCTTTATACAACAATAGGAAAGCAGCGTTAATAATTGCATTGTTCAAGTCTTTTTCCAGAGCCTATAAAAATATAAAGTAACTAACATTCAATAATTAGCTAAAACTCATACAAAACTATGCGTTTTTTTTCCAAAATACGTGTAACACGATAAGTACTTGATTCAATTTAGTTCACTGTACTGACTGGTTACATTAGAAGATAAACCAATTAACAATTAGTTGATTCAGCTGGTACACAATAAAATAAATCACGAATAGTTATACTTAGAGTAGGAAAGGTTTGAGTAGTGTATGATAAATCTTAGCATAACAATTCAGTTTATAAAGAATGACGATTAGGTAGGGAAATAACGCTGTATTCAGATGATGAAGGATAAATTTGGATGTTAGTCAGTTATGTGCAACTTGGAATCTGACATAGTCGTGTCAGTTTAGGTTGAAACACTATACTAGAATGACGAGATAACATTTTCTCAAGACAAATCACAGAGTAGAATTAGTAACACTTTTAATGGATAGTGGAAAAGACTGGGTGTAACAAAAGATAAACAAAAGGCATAGGCAGATTTTGGAGTTCAGTCTCCAGCCATTAGTTATGATGGCTGCGTGGACCACGACCAAATAGTCTACACATACCTAAATAACTGGGTCCAACTGCCAATAACTTCGTAGACTGACGTCATGTCATTATTTGGGCGCCCTAAGCTTCATTACAATCCACTCTTATACCAAAAACAACAACACTCGCCAAAGTACGCGGTGTTTGGGCAGACATGATACATGTCCCATCCAACTCAGTTGAAGATTCACTATCTTTATCTAGTATCATATGCTTAACTTTGGTTGGTAGACGAACAACCCGCCTATGTTACAGATGACGCAACTAGGTGAAAGTCACCCAAACCTTCTCAATCCATAAATTTGGATGAATATAATTTTTGGTTGTTAAAGTAATCAATAGAGTGTTAATTGTAATGATGCACAATACGATCGACTATTCAAGAGATGGAATTGTTATTACAAAAGTCACCGGATATCCAGACAGGAAAATACGTCTGGATATTTTCAAAAATGAATGAACAAAATAAAAATGACAGAATCAATATTCTTATCCACAAAACTTACATCAAATTCTAATAGAGTTAATATTTGAGATTGCATCACAGGAAGAGCTTTCAATAACTGAATAAAAAAGACAAATCATCAAACACTAAAATGATTGTAGAATTAACCACTAAGTAAATAAACCAGTGTAGTTCAATAATGTCGAGTGAGAGAAAGTTACTCACTGAAAACAATAAAGGACAATCGTGTAATATCGTGGATTGATTGAAGTATGACCTGTACACCATTGGATCCAAACTCAGTGGTATAAGGATTAGGCATTCGTGTGTGAGATTAAAGGTCGTGAGTTTGAATACCGATTAGAGAGTCGTGGATGTGCACTGCTGATGTGTCTCATACAAGGACGAAACGACTATCTGATCCCTCCAGGTTTCAATTGGTTTTATAACTTAGATCGGTTCGCAATATCAATGAAATTCAACAATCTCCACAAGCCTATGGTGAAAATTGAAATAATGAGTGAGTTGTGTGATCAGTTGTTCGGTATGCCCTTATGCCTAAAAATTAATTTTGTTATGATGAAGAGAATATGGGATAAAAACCTCTTTTATAACACAAATCCATTTTCAAATTATAAAAGTCCCTAGAGTATTTGGTATTCAGTTTTCAGGCATGTAAAACACGTGTCCTAACCATCTCAGTCAATGAAAATTCACAACTTCATCAACTGATATATCATCATTCCCTAATACCCTGTGTCTAACATCACTAATACTTACCCGGTGATCCCAGCAATACTAATAAGGCATCTGTGATCAAATTCTAGTAGCTTACAAGTATCTTCTACTTTTAATGGACACGTCTCACAGCCGTAAAGTAGAACAGAACAACCTGCCGCGTAGTACACTCGTCCCTTAAATGAAAGACAGTAACCTCGGCTTCGCCATAGGTGACCCGAGTTGGCAAAAGCCAAATGAGCTTTATGAATCCACGCCTAATCAGTCAGTCAGTAACAACGTAGAACTACGTACGTACGTACATCAGTTCGAGTTGCCATACCACATTAGCACAGAGATGTAGTTGTAGATTTAAATCCCGTAGTGGTAGAGGTAGCAAGAGTATAAGCAGTAATCGGAAAGATTAGGGTTTGAAGATGTTATTCAAGGAGTATAATCCAGTGAGATAAATTTCGAAAAATAAATAAGGGACATGAAGAATTCAGAGTATTAAAATTTGGGAGAACACAAAGAGTGGATGCACCTGCGCCATAGCAAACGATTTTGAACCATGTCATTCAAGGTCTCTAACCATCGGTTGCTATCGTCTCGCGGTCTCCAACCAGGTAGTCTACACCTACCAATATGACTCAGTCCACTTGTCAGTGACTTAATCGATTTGTGTCATGTTTTGGTCTGGCCGCCCCTAGCTTTCTTCCAATCTACTCCTATACCACTGAACACCGCACGTCGAGGCAGTCGGTGGTTGGGCATACGTAACATATATCCCAGCCATCTCAACTGATGAAGTTTCACTACTTCATCAATTGATTTGTCATCCTTACCTAGTACTCGCTTCCTAACAACTGCATTACTTACTCGATGGTCCCAGGATATACGAGCAATATTTCGAAGACACCTATGATCAAATACTAGTGACTACGGATATCCTCTACTCTTACCGGCCATGTTTCACTGCCATAAAGTAGGACAGAACGAACTGCTGTGTAATAAATACGTCCTTTGGTTGATAGACGGATATCTCGCCTACGCCGTAAATGACGCAAGTTGGCAAAAGCTAGTCAAGCTTTCTGTATCCATGCTGAGATTTCGTCACACATCAGACCAAAAGAGCTGATGAGACTACCAAGATAAGTGGAGCGGTCGACACGCTCAACTACTTCACTCCCTATCATTAGTTCAGGTGTCGATGCAACTCAATCCTGAAGCAACAGATCGCATTTCGAGGGGGAGAATCGCATCCCGAACATGTTTGGATTGTTGCTCAGAGTGGCCAGAAGACTGTATTTTGTCAGCGTCTTCACCAAATAGAACTATGTCATCGGCATATTCCAAGTCAACAAGTGAATCTCCCGGTAGAAGTCCAACTCCTGGAAATTTAGATGAGGAAAGTGTTGTCTCTAAAAGTACGTCAATGACAAAGTTGAACAAGAATGGAGAGAGTGGGCAGCCCTGAAGAACACCACCACGCCTAATTAAGACTCGTGAACTGCAAACACGAGAAAATCAGACTGGCTTCAGATCTAGTCGTGGTTGTATCGACATATTCAGTATTAGTCAGGTTTTAGAACACAGGCATGCTTATCGGTGTCCGACAATGATATTTCTTGATCTAAAAGCAGCATTTGACCCTCTACACCGAGAGGTTCTGTGGCAATGAAGGGTGTACCTTAGGAGTACATAAACCGTGTGAAGGCTCACTACTCGAACACTACTAGTCCAGTCAGAGCTTATGGTGAACTGTCATTTGATTTTGCAACCTCAAGTAGTGTCCGTCAAGGCTGTCCATTATCTTCGTTTTTGTTTAACTTCATCATAGACCTACTGCTGGAAATAACGCTCTCGTCGACTGGATTTTCGGGCATTGATCTCCTATCAGGAGGTCCACCTATCGGCTTAAGATACGCAGATGATATAGTCCTGTTTAGTGAAGACGCTGATAAAATGCAGAGTCTTTTGGTAGCACTGAGCGACGATGCCAGAATTTTTGGGATGCGTTTCTCCACTTTTAAATGCAAGTGGTTGCTCCGGGACTGGTCTGCGTCAACACCTGAACTGAGATTAGTGTGTTTAATAGTCGAATGATTACACTAGGATCTTGTATTTGTGTTTCGGATACACAGCACATATCAACCGTAGGAGATTCTATAGTTCTAGCCAAGGAGGTCTTCTGGCGGATTTTACATAGGCTCGAATGTGTAATCTGGAGCGAGGTTTCATTTGACCTGAGATAGTGTTTAGCGCACTAGAGTCGTTGGCTAAGGTGACACTTGAGGCGGAATCAAAAAGATGGGTTTTGGTGTTGAAAGTCGATGTGGGAGGAATAATAGGAATTAAAGAGAGAGATTAATTATGAATACAGTAATCTTTAGTGCTCTTAGAGGTATGAAGGAGGTTATCAGTCAGTGCGTGACCGCAGTGCCCAAGGGACAACTGCTTGAGGTCAGTCACACACGATCCCATGCCATTTAGTTTCACGGTTGCAGGCGTTACTATTGAACTATTCGAGTTACTACAAACTTCCTGAGACTGAGACACATTTACAATCGGTTGATCGGTGAGTAATGACCAATGTGTATGTAAAGTTCTCAACGATGGTCGAAACCTATTGCAATATGGTTGCACTTTTCTAAAATATTTTCCTGATAAAACTTTAACAGTGGTAAAAACACTATACTCAGAATTTTCTGACTAGTCAAGAGAACACAAAAGCTTACAAAACTTTGCCAGCAGTAACAGTACTATGTATAAATCTTATCCAAAAAAAATCAATCACTTGAGATCTTAAGTAGAATCTCGAATTTTGAAATTCGTAACACAGCAGTGCTTTTCACAGCAATAGACTTGTTTATGATTTGTCTCATAATCTAGTTGAATAAAAATTTTGCTGAGTCAGTTTTTTTTCTATTTCTCTTCGAATTCTCATTGTTTTGTGCGGCGCATATATATTGGAGCTCTCTTGTACCAATATTCATGTGTTCAAATAAATAAATAAATATTAAGAGTAGTTCATTAACTAGATGGCAAAGTTTGACGGCTGATGAGTGTCGACTGGCTGAATCTAAGAGCGTTGATTACATAATGCATATCTGATATACAAGTAAGTAAATTAGCATGGCTTCTTTATCTATTAAGGTAGGTTGTTATCCTCTTACATTATATTTTCAGTTGAGTCGTTACTAAATTTTATGCTAAGGGTGTTTTGGATCCTAAGCACTTGGAGTTACATAATTTTGGCAATCCAAACCTAAGTACGTCGAGCGAGTTCTTAACCTGAGACATGATGGCTGAAAGTTAAGTGGATTAAAGACTGAGCCATCTTAGTGTTTTAAATCATTACAGATGTTTTCTATCATGGAACTTTATACTTATAACTAGAAGTTTATGATGTGATCTCATCTTAACACAAGACATTTTGAAATTGACATAGGCCTTAAATATGAAATAACACGACTGATCAATAAGTGAAATGAAGCTGAAAGTGGCATAACGGAAAAAATATTCACACCAAACAGTAAAGGCTAATCTGAACTAGGGAAATAACTCCTCATATAAGTTCCTGATGTATCTCAACTAAAAACCATGTCTTTAAAAACACAACAAAGTATTGGCTACAAATAGTGATAAAACTCATTACCCACAACATAAATGTCGCACAACACAGGTTACCTTATCAACTGGCATTGTTCGTAAAACACCATCATCACGCCTAATAAAAACAGAGCCATGCGACCATAAAAGCATGTTTAAAGTCAAAAAACAGAATAGTTAAAGAGAAAGCCCGGATAGGTAAAAAACGTTCAGGTTTTCGGACCCCGTTAACAACATGAAAATCAGTATAATTAGAGAAAAGTAACAGGAAAATCACAAAACTGAAAGCAACAATACTAAAAGTAATGTGAATCTAAAAGCGGGGGTTTGAAGTTAAGAACCAACAAAATCTCATCGTAATTGCAATTGATGGTTTGGTCTAATAAACACTTTTTCATTACCAAAGGACACATCAACTGTATAAATATTGTCTATGAAAGCAGCTAAAATTACTATTACAGATGACTTAAGGAGACTCTTCACATGTGGAAATGCCAGACTGTTAGACATACTACTTAGCTTGGTTACAACTATTGCAACCAGTCAGCTTGAAATCTTAACATGGCCAGGATTTTAACTTTACTATTGACGACACAGAACGAAATAGTCTTAAAAAAAATGTGCTTTTATTTATGAAAAGCTTTAATCGTTCTAGGAGCAATAGCCGAGCAAAGAGCAAATGGGACAGTGGAAATCAAACAAAGAGTAAACTTAGGTTAGCTCTTTGTATAGACTATTATCGGAGGATATAAAACCATCGACAAACATAATGACAATAATCTCAAGTCCCGACAAAAATGAGCAACTAAAAATGTCAGCATATATATAACTCAAGTTTTCTCAAGATACTCTAAACAACTGAACTTGAAAAGAACTTAAGAATAACTTCGACAACGAAATATAACTGACAATACTAGTTGACTAAAAACAAATTTAAAATTAAAAAATAACCTACCCTCGTTTCACTTTGCAAAAGTCGAAAGCCATAGCTCTGTAAGAAGCAACTTTTTCACTCAAGTATTTTGAATACTTGCGAATGAATATGGACATTTCATAAGCTAAAAAGATTTGCCATCATTATTAAAAACGCATACACTGAGAGCTTGTTTTATCATTAAAATGTGGAAGGTCAATTGGACAGTTATTGGAGGCAAGATAATGTGAAAATTTCTATGATGAAACAGTGGGACCTTATAATTTGTTACCTCATTCCCAAAATTCATAAGGTTGTGAGTAGTTATGAGAGCTTTAAAGACAATCACCCATGATTTTTCTTGTGTCCTTTCCACAAGAAGCCCAGCAAGTAGTGGGATAGAGACATTAGGTTCATTACTGCAGTTTACTAGGTCTATTTAAACTATTATTTCTTGAACTAAACCATACAATCAATGTGCTTTTTCTTCGGAGCACCAATTTCCTCTGTGGTTGCTTTCGCTACGACTTTCCCGAGACCAGAACCTGCCAAACTGTACTTTGCTTGCGTGACTCTATCCATTAAGCTCTGACCTGTCCCACTCCCCGCTAACTGCTTAACAACCTTGCTCGCAGCTTTGGCAGACATCACAACTGTCGATGAGAAAGTTGATTCTCCCCCTTAAAAAATCCCCGATATGGAGGTCAGTGTTCAATAGTTTCAAATCTGAAACTATAGAATAAAAGGAGCATTCTCTCATCTGGCTTCTGCATATACGAGAAATACACAACCAGGTAGATACAGGATGGTTTGAAAAGACGTTTGGAAACGAATGGGACACTTGTTCAAACGAATGGTTCGAATGGTTACAGACGCAATGGAAGAAGCTTTTGCTTAACGGGCTTCTGTATGTAGTAGCGGTAGATCATCGATGCCTCCAGGCAAGAACCTAGGTATACTCAACGAGAAAAGAAAAAAAAGAATTAGTAAATTATATCGCTATACTGTCTCTAATCCTTATAATGTGTCAAGATTTCGCTTATAGGACTTCTGTGAAGTCATTTTAACCAAATCATCTCGCAGTGAATTCCAATATTTAACTACTTTTAAGGTGCAGAAAATTGGCGTACAGTTCATTCTGTCGCGTAGCGTTTCCTGTTTCTGGGTGTTACTCCCAAGGTTTTTGTTAGGACTAAGCTGAGGTATATGTTAAAGGAGAGGTCCAGAAGTGTTTAAGATGCTATAAGTCATTAACAGAGAAAATAATAAAGGAGAGAAAAATTGGTTAACCATAGTAAGATATTATCCTTAGTTCTTAAGAATAGGTCAAGCTCCCTCATAAAGGACTCTTAGGAAGTCGCTTGGACTAGCGAAGCCGGCAGTAAATTGCAGCATTTGACAACTCTTAAGGAGTAGAAAATGTGTCTACATTCCGTTCTGCTGTGTTGTATCTCTAGTTTCTGGGTGTTACCCCTAAGTTTTGTGTTGGAGCTAAACTTATGTTTGAGGGGATATCTAGAAGCGTTAAGGATACTATATGCCATTAGTAGGTCACGTCTAAGACGCCTATACTCTAATGTGTTATATCCTAGTGAAGATTACATTACGAGTAACTTCTGTGACCCATTAATGGACTAATATTATTTATGTATTCTTATGGTATAAATATTCAGTAACTAGATTATGTATATCTATATTCCCCTTGTTATAAGCTTTATTTTGACTTATAATTTATTATTATATGATTTACTGTTCTTAAGCTATGTTCAGTTTATTGACTACTGTCTCCCTCATTCACAGTCACTTTTCGGCTTTAATGTGTACAAATGTTAAAGGCTTGAATTTGAGTCCCCGACTATTTCGTAGCTTGCCGTTTCCTGTTGGCCTATATCCATCATTATCAGGCAGTTACTTAGAGGGTGATCATGCTGCTTTATTGAATAGATAGTTGTTATTTGTTGTACAAACGTATGTAATTCATCTACCATGCGTATTTCGGAGATAAGACTGTTCCATATTATTTCATACTTGATGAGGAAGAAGTTTTCGCGAGTTTTTTTACCTGTATTTCTCAACTTTGACCGTAGATACTTTGTTTCGAAGTTCGTATTCATGTGAATCTCGGGTAAGAACTTTCTTACATGTTAAATAAGTAAGGTTTTCGAGTAGCTTGAAGTAGTGAATCAAATTAGGCCCGAGCCTTCTCTCCCAAAAGGGTGCTATTATTAAAATTCGGCATCGGGAACTGTAGTCAATGACTGAGTCAGTCTTAAGTATTTTAAGGGTGAAGTCTCGTTGTATTCCTTCCACCTTTGGTATATCAGATAGGCGTAGGTTGGAAAACAAGAACGAGCAGTATTCAACCATAGGTCTTACACAAACTTTATAAAGAAGGGTCTTAGATTCACTTAGATAGAAATTACGGAGAATGACGCCAATCAATTTCCGCATTTTAGATGGTTTGGCTGAGATGTGCTCAGAAAAATTACAACTGTGTGAGTTATGTACACCTAGGTCAGTTACTGATGCCAGTCTGGACAGTGTGTGGTTGTTAAGTGTTAGTTTTATTTTAAGACATGTCTCCTATGCATAACCAGCCGCATTTCCCTGTGTTGAGCTCTAACCAGTTGTCTATCATGCTGAGTTCATGTTGGATAGTTTGCATAGTACTACGTGTAAGATCCATTTTGAATGCCTTGTGTGTTTGTGAAAATCCGTCCATGTATGTACTTGCACTTTGTCCTATTGATCCTCTTAGTTGTACATTGTTAACTTTTTGACTACATTTGAATTGTTAATATTTGTATTTATTATAGTTTTCGTTTTTACTACACCTTCACTAATCCCCCGTGTTTCTTCCCGAACTGTACTTATGTTATTTTACTTTATACTAAGTCTGGAGGCAGCCATTTTGGTTTGTCCCTGCTTTCGATTGCTTGATCTGTGTTGACTGGAATTGTGCATTTTGGTTGTGAATTGAAGCACTCTTCCAAAATTGAAACCACTCTGTGTTATAGAGCGACCAATTATTACCTTTTGAACGAATCTGTACGTGATCTATCCAGACAGGATAGAATAACGTTTATTTGTGGTGATTGATTTGATCAATTGAACAATTATTGGTTGGATAACTGAGTGGTTATATTTGTTTAGGTAATAATGTACACTTAAATTTATAATGAATTATAGAACCGTCATCTTATCCAATTACTTTGTTTTGGTTTCAAACGGGCGAGGGCGCGTATCTAACTCATCCAGACAGCTGTCCAGCAGTCCAAACCCTAGTTTAGATCCTACACTACGTACACAGCAAATGTCAGTTTTATAGACGGGGTAGGTCTTACGTGTGCTAAACCACTTGCATATATTGTTGATTTAGATTATAAAGAGCGATGAACCCAAGACACTTCCCTCCACAACACCACTGGTTATTGGTCGAGGTGTAGATTTTGTAGAGTTAATCTTGGTTATTTGGTATCTTTTCGTAAGAAAAGACTTGATCCATTGCAAAAGGGGATTTAAAATTCCAACTGACTTAAGTCTGTTGATTAGAAGATCATGAGATACTTTATCAAAGGCGTTCTTAATATCGAAATATAGTATAACCACAAGTGGACCAATTAATTAAACGTGATTTGATGCATAATCGTTCGAGTTCATTGGTATGACATATATTATTGGCGCTTAAAATAAGCTTTTTAGAAGTGAAGGTATGTGACGTCAAACTTCTCCTTGCGATTAAGGATGGTTTTCAATCTGTCCATCACTCTCAACAGGTTGGTTATACGAGAGTGACCTTTAATGAAACCATGCTTTTGGAGTGAAAAGAAGTTTATGGATAGTAAGTAGTCACGTAGACAGTCGCATATCAAGGACTACATATTTTTTAGGGTAATGAGTTAAGTGCTACCGGCCCGTGGCTTGAATTATCGCTGCGTCAATTAGTGTGAATAAAGCCAGCTTCCAATTTTCTGGTAACCTGCCTCGGCTTAGCGAATGTGAGAATATCATGCTAAGCAGTTTTGCCAAGATTGAGTCTGGTTCCATAATAATAGGAGAATGAACCATATCCGGACCAGAAGTGTCATTTTTTAGGCGCTGCAGTTTCCGGTGCACCAAGTCGGCGCTCAGGTTCACTTCTGAGACTCCTGTTTAGTTGCAGGTAGAGCTCTCGTCAATATAGTTAGTATGAGTTGGTTGAAATTTCCAAAAGTATTTTTCTGTCAAAAGGTCGGTGGCGTCGTTATCGTTGTTGCTTGGACCATTAGAACCTAGGAGTTAAGAAACCCCGGCTATGGCTTATCGAAGATAGGCTGTACGACGGGATAAGCATTTCGGACTGGAGACAAATTTATCTTTTTACTTCACCTGATAGTGAATACTGTTTTCTCTTAGTGTCTTTGTGCATTGGTTCTGTATTATATTGATTTGCCTGTACGCTCTGTTGTTACTAGTTCGCTTGTATTCCTCCCTCTAGTGTCTTTTGCGCCTTAGCAAGTGCAGAGTACGATTCTTGATGACTGTAGGTTGTTTGTAGATTTTAGGGACCGTTTGAGGAAAAGACTGTCTTGTAGCACATAAGATCATGTACAGTAAGGAACCCCAATGAGCATACGCATCAAGTTGTGAATGAACTTCCCAATCCACCTGTTGTAGATTGTCCTGTAAAAGAGAAATATCCAACCGTTTGATATTTCAACGCCGGCTATTGGTAGGATGTCTTGGCTCACTTTTGCCGATAAGACTAGAGACTGTGACGGTGTGATTGTAGAATTATGGTCTACTATGGTATTAGTACTGCTCTAATAATAGACCTAATCCTAAATTTGTAGATTTGTCATGATATAATTGCCTAATCTATAAGATCTTACGTGGAAGTCACACCATCGACTACACCAACTCACTGTATCGTATCAATTACCAATACATGATGTAGAACAAGGTTAGGCTAGAGAAAGAACAATATATTTAATATGAATAGAAGATATAAAGTAACATTAAGATGGACCACGCCTGCATGATCGAGCCATGCCATCCGATCAACTCCAATCCATTCAATTCATTGTTCGCGCCTTCTCCATTGTTAGGTATTTCTCCGCGTTAAATATTGAATGTCTATTTTCTGAGTAGTCTCGTGTTCACAGCTTTGTGGCTATTGTCCAATGCCACTACATGATCACTTCAACCCAATGGAACCAAGCGTGAGAGGTTGTCAACCAGGAATTCTTCATTTGTGAGTGGGCAGACTAAGAGCGACAGCGTCTGACTGTTTCTCCAACGAGTTGCAGACTTGAAATTTTCGAATAATCCCTGATTTTTTACTGAGGTCGAAGAACTGAGGTTCAATGAGGTTGTCACTTCCTATGTAGGTATTTTTAACGATGGTGACTTTAGAATGATTAAAGTCTCCTAGAATCATGATATGAGTGAGTCCGAAACGAATAAGGCTAAATAATCCTTCCAGTATACGTTTGTCAATCTGGGTGTCAGCAATGGGCTTCCATTATATGACTTTCACTAGACACCTGGAGGTGCTAGACAGTTAACCCAAGGCCCATACAAAAGCATGAATCCTTGGGTGTAAACTTGATATCCTATCAAGCAAAATTGCAAGTACAGGGCTACAGTAAAATGTTCAGCCGTCGTAATTAAGAAGGCATTTACGTCCAGAAATCTCAAATAAAGACCCTGCACTCAATCTACAGAAAAACCAGTTTTAAACTCCGAATACTCCTGAGTGTTATAACATATTTCTGAAAGTTGACAGTATAGCAATATAT